CACCATTGCTTTTCAATATAATACTGGAAGTCCTAGCCAGGGCAATAAGACAAGAGAAAGACATCCAAGGAATCCAAATAGGAAAAGAAGAAGTCAAGCTATCACTATTTGCAGACGATATGATATTATACATAGAGAACCCCAAAAACTCCACAGAAAAGCTAATTCAACTCATCAATCAGTTCAGTAAAGTGGCAGGATACAAAATCAACATGCAAAAGTCAGTAGCCTTCCTATACACAAACAATAAATCTGAAGAAGAAGAAATCGAAAAGACCATCCCTTTGTTATTGAAACAAAAAAAATCAAATATTTGGGAATAAATCTAACAAAAGAAGTAAAGGACCTATACAAAGAAAACTATAAAAACACTGTTAAAAGAAATAGAAGAAGACACAAAGAAATGGAGAGACATCCCCTGCTCATGGATTGGAAGAATAAACATTATTAAAATGGCCATCCTTCCAAAAGCAATATACAGATTCAATGCTATTCCAATCAAAATTTCAATGTCATTCTTCAAAGAAATAGAACAATTATTGATGAAATTCATATGGAATCACAAAAAAACCCGAATAGCCAAAGCTCTCCTGAAAAAAAAAGAAGGGAATGGAGGCATCAGACTCCCAGACTTCAAACTATACTACAAAGCCATAATCATCAAAACTGCATGGTATTGGAACAAGAACAGACATACAGACCAATGGAATCGAATAGAAAATCCAGAAATAAACCCACAGATTTATGGTCAACTAATCTTTGACAAAGGAGCAAAGACTATGCATTGGAGCAAAGAAAGTTTGTTCAATAAATGGTGCTGGGAAAACTGGGTCGCTACATGCAAAAGAATGAAGCTTGACCACCACCTCACACCATACACAAAATCAACTCAAAATGGATTAAAGAACTAGACATAAGACCTGAAACCATAAAATATATAGAAGGAAATATAGGCGAAACACTACATGATTTGCACATCAAAGACATCTTTACAGACACATCACCCAAAGCAGTGATAGTGAAGGCAAAGATAAACAGCTGGGACTATATCAAATTAAAGAGCTTTTGCACAGCAAAAGAGACAATAACAAAAACAAAGAGAAACCCCACCAACTGGGAGAACATTTTTGCACCCAACACTAATGATAAAGGACTGATCACAAAAA